ATTAATTTAGTTATGGCTAAAACTATTATAACTAACTAAAATTAGTTCCTACAAATAATTATTCAAATTGACGAGGAATTAAAACACGATTCACTTAATGATCATGTTTAGATTAAGAACTTTTGGAGACTAAATTAAATATATATTTGAAAAATAATAAGTTTTATGAGAAAATTAAAAAAAAAAAACTATTTTTTTTTGTATGTAAGTAGTTACAGAATACGAACTAATACTTTACGTTTGAATTTAGGGTATATTGTTTAAACGGATTTTTACAACTGCAAACATGTGTGGGCATTTGTAAGCTTTCAAATAAAAAAATAAATTTTGTTCAAGGAATGCAACATAAAATAGAAAGATTAATAACAATGAGGAAATTAATCTGTGTAATTATTTCTAATGATCTAAAGTTTTCATGCTTTTGTTTATTTTCTGAACTACAGTTTGATGCAAATCCAGATTACTGTGCGTAATGTATACAAACACGTTGATTAAAGAATTGGAGCGAAAGAATTAAGTGTTGGAAGCCATGTTTGGAGTTGAAACTTCATTGCTACAAATGGGACAAACCTTCTTAATTTGAAGCCACTTGCTTATGCAATCTGCATGATAAAGGTGCTCACATTGAAGTGCCACCAATGCTTCATCATCTTCATATTCAACCTGACAAATCACACAGCGATCGATTCCACTTTTTCTTTCACCACGTTGCCAAGTATAAGAGTTCAAGCACATAGAGATTTCATTTGCGGATAATCCCCTCGTTTCTTCTCCTATAAACTCTCCCAACTCCATCAACTCTTCATAAGATAATTCGTCTGGATCAATCTCATCTTCTTCCACTTCCATTTCTTCTTCTTCATCATCATCATCGTTATCATTGCTTTCTTCATCTTCAAGAAACTGAAGATCAGAGTCAAACTCTTGACTCTCTACGAAGTTAGGATCACCGTCATCATCATTATCAATAGAGGAGTCACTCAGATATTCATCATTTTCACTTTCAATGGTTGAAAGCATTGTGAACTCTCTCTCGTGTTCCTGCATGCTCAATGCTAGAATAAAATCGAAGTCAACTTCTTCTAGTTCAACGTAAGGGTTTTGAGAGCACTCTTTTCCCTCCTCACCTTCCATTGAAGGAGAAAAGGGTGTTCCAATGAAGTCGGTGGGTTGATAACAAATCAATGCGACTGGGGTATTTGAGTGGAAGGACATAGAGATGTACACTTTGAGATTTCTTTTGGGGGTGAACAAACTTCAATGTAAAGTAATGGTAACCCTTTATCATGGATTCCTAATTCAGATTCTTGTCTATTCTTGTCATGGACTTTCTTTTTGTATAAGGCAACCTTTATTTAAAGTAATTGCAAAACATTTTCCCTAAGTTGCAATATACCTTTTTCCACAAAAGAAGCTATCCATTAGTCAGTTTTTAACCTTTATTTATGTGATACTATTTACATTTACCATTTATACGGAAATCAAGAAAAAAAAAACAAAAATGCTTTGCAGAGCCTTTCTCATTGTCTCACGAGAGGGAACATAAGTTAGAAGAAAACTTCAATAGCAAGTGTTTTGGACATGCGGCTGTCAAAAGTCATTTCTTAACTTCATGCCTTTTACCCTATTAATTTAAAACAATATATAACAAGGAGATAAAAAGTATATATGTTGTTGTTTTTCTTCCAAACAAAATCAGAAACGTACAGTGATACAAAGTGGTTCGTATATGTAACCTCAACTAAATGATTCTACCTTCTCTTACTTGGCAGAACTCTTTTCCTTCTAGTTATACCTTTTCTTGCAAACTTAGACGTATGGGATACCTTGATGTCATTGACTGTTCCTATGTGATTGTCATGCCTAATGCCATTGCTTGTGTGGCTATGATTCCTTTTACTTTTATATCTAAGATCTCTCCTAATTTCAACTCTAGCATGATGTCTCCTAGGTTGCAAAGACTTCCTTAGGTGGAAAGTTTTATAATCTCTCCTACGCGAAATTAATCTTCTCATTTTTGCTGATGCCATGCTTTCATCACTGTACTCTTCTTCTCCAGTTTTAATGTAGAAATTCTTATTCATGTCCATTCTGACCCTTCTTCTTATTCTTCTAGTTTTCCTGATATTGTGCAGCTTAATACACAAGAAAGTGCAGGAATATTCCCAGACGTGGAGACAAGAAGAGAAACATGTCCATATCATTTTGCAAGAAGAACGGCAAATACATCCGCATATGCCCAGTTTATGTACCAGATATAAGAACAACAGAACTGCAAGTAAACAACAGAGGCATACGAAATTTCAAATATGTCAAACTACATAGGTCTTGGTTCATGTAAAGTACTAAAACAGACCAAATACGATAGCATCTACCAAGGAGTTGAACTCACCAATGTACGATAGCATAAATACCATGGTTAATTTCAGGATATTGGCAATGCAAAAATTTTCGATATAGCACAGGAAATCCCATGTTGGTCCACACACTGAGCTGAAACGTATCCAAAGAAAAATACATCAAGCGCATGAAGTGAAAAGTGAAGAAATGCATACATCAATCACAATGAGAGTAGAATAACCATGCATGGTCTTACCTGCAAGACTTCCCTGAAAGAAATTCAATTGGAGAATTAAATAGTTTGCCAATAGCCTGTCCTAAGCCAGAAGCAAACGATTCAATGACGTTGCCCATATTCAAGAATCATAGATCTGTGGGAGATGTTCAAGAAGAATTGTTACTGATTTCTTTACAACTGACGATAACTTTTACAGAAATGGAAATTAAAGGATCAAGCAATGCCAAAAGATGGTGAGGATGATTAAATCAATACAATCGTTTAACAAACTCTAAAACAGATACAAACTCTATCAATTTAATACAACGAACCCATGTAAAGTTTGAAAGATGAGAAAAGAAAATCCTAACAAATGCAAAAAGCAAATTAACTGTAATTTACATAGGTGCGAAAGAGTAACTACACAGTTGCTGAATCTTGAAGAGAAGAATGCAAAGCTTCTAAACGCTCGGAATGATAGGGCCATATACAGCGCGTAGAAATCACCGTCCGTGTCTATTTGGCCGTTACAGATCTGACGGCTCATGATGCTTGGAACTGTGTTTTCTTAATTTGAATTAGCAGTTGCGATGCCATTTTGGCGTGAAGACACAGACAGTGAACTGTGAATAAACTGCATTATCCTCCTACTATTTACATTTGTTGGTGATGGGTGCTTATACAAATCAACCAACCAAAATTCACTTGAATGGAAATTTGCTTTCATTTAACGACTTTCCTTGTAATATGAAGACAATTTGGTTGTTTTAAATATGCATGCATCATATGGAAAATTTATCAAATTATAATATGTGATCTTGGAAAGTTAAAAACTGAAAAAAGGCAAAAAAATGTTAGTGACAAATTCAATGAAGTTTTGGATGGTTATAATTCATGAGTTTATTAGATGTAGTCATCCAATGTAATTTAGAAGTGTTGGTTGTATGGATTTAGTGGTCTATCTTTTATTAAATAGCTATCTAAATTAAATATAAAAATTAAATGTAATTCAGTTTTATTTTAAATTAGTATAAAATTTCAAGTAAATCAAATTGGGTATTCATAAACCCCAAACCATAACATTGTTAAGTATTTATTTAAATATATATTATGTTTTAATATCAAATATTTTATTATGAAAAGTTATTAAATAGAAGAATATTCTTTACATGTATTTTTTTATCCCTTTTTCTATTTATAAATGAAGGATCCCATTATGTAATATTTACTTAAAATGGAATGAAATAAAATTTTGGATATCTACGAAATTTATTCTTGTATTGGATAATCCACTTAAGTGACAAATTTTCATTGTGCACTTATTCTCGAAAAACTTTGGTGATGTGTTATTTTCCAGTCCTTTCCGTGGACCCTTTTGAATTTTGCATGTTATTTTGTTTTAATGTTTCTATTGTATTGTCTGAGAACTTCCATGAATACCCATGAAGCTTGATTTGATTTAAATTCTTTTAATTGATAGATTTAAAATCAATGTCAATGAGAGGACAACATCAAAAGACAATGATATCTTGGTTAGCACTTCGTTAACTTTGTTTATTTTTAAGATTAATGAGATTTATAAGCTTTCATCAACCATAACGCCCTATTCTTTTTTCCTTTTGAAAAAAGAGCACCTCCTTCAATAGAATCTAAATGTACAAAACATCAAACAAAGTTCACATTAAAAAGATTCATAATTGAGACTAATACCTCTAACTAAGGTCTAAGAACGATGTTGATGCATTCTAGATATCAAATCTCATTCTTTAACACGCAGTTGAACACTAATATTTAACATGCTTTCACATACGTTTATGAACTTACACTAATATACAAATAGTAATACGTCGAGGACACTCTACATGCCATGATAAAGACAAAACAACTTTTTAAAATTGAAATTGATATTTTGACACTTAATTTTTTTTACTCTAATATGATCCTTTACTATTTTTAACTATTATTTTTCTTTATAAATATAAAAGTTTAGCTTTTTTTAATAAACATTTTACTCCAACCTAAGTATTAAATAGTTGTCCTATATAACCTTAACCGAAAGCCTGTTGTTTACCCTGTATTTAATAGCATAATAAAGGACTTACGTTGTGTTTGTTATTTCTTTTGCTATTCCCAAATTTTAAATACGGAGTGCATTATATAACGAAAATCTTTAGTTAACTATTGTGTATATAATGAATCATACGGGAATTATTTTTTGAAATACAAAAAACGGCAACAGATTTAATTCTTTGAATAAAAAGAAACATATTCTTTTAAGAGAAAAATAATTTATTGAAAATGTAAAAGAAATATTTAACCACAACAAAAAAAAAATATAAATGATTTGTTGGTTTAATGATAATTATATTGAAGAAAAATATAAGTGATAATAACTCCGTGTAAAGCGTTCAACACTTTTCCTTAAATTCCTGTTTTGAACTGATAAGTATCTGGTGCACCAAAAAAAAAGATGATATATATACATAGTTTTTCCATGTTCATATTCTGAAAACCTATTTGATTTGGTGAGAGGAAGCAAAGACGTAATGGCAGTGGGAAAGAACAAGAGGATATCGAAAGGGAAAAAGGGTGGCAAGAAGAAGGCGTTAGTGCACATTACCTTCACCTCTTAACTTTCACCTTTTTCTTGTTTCTTTTTTCTGTAACTCTCGTTTTGCCTTTTTCTTCAGCGCTGATCCTTTTACCAAGAAGGATTGGTACGACATCAAGGCTCCTTCTGTGTTTCAGGTCAAGAATGTTGGCAAGACTCTCGTCACTCGCACTCAGGGCACCAAGGTATAACACTTTTCTTTTTGCATATACGTTTCAATCATCATTCGCTTATCTTCATCTGTTCTCACTATCGTATACTAAAATTTTGTGTATGGATCCGCGAAACTAATAAAAAAAAAAAACCCTAAAAAGTGGAATTTTTTATTCAAGTTAATCCAGCAGGTCACATGCAACGTGTGATTTAAATTATAATAGTAATATATGTTTAAGAACCAAAACGACATTGATTAATTTAGGGATTTAGATGAAATAATGTTGATAATAGTAATATATATTTAAGAACCAAAACGGCATCGCTCGACACTTAAAACTCCGGTTACAAACGTTTATAATAAATTTTGCTACGAATGATTAAGGTTACGTGCAATTTAAATTACTGAGCTTGATGTAGGCTTATATAGATGGTGACACGATGGATATTTTAAACTACAGATTGCTTCGGATGGACTCAAACATCGAGTGTTTGAGGTCTCGCTGGCTGATCTTCAAGGTGACGAGGACCATGCGTTCAAGAAGATTCGTTTGAGGGCTGAGGATGTTCAAGGGAAAAATGTTCTGACGAACTTCTGGGTATGAATATGATAGTTGCTGAACCTTCTTTTGGTCACTGTAATTGACTTGCATGATGTTAATCATAGGTAAGATTGTATCCCTGTAAATGTAGGGAATGGATTTCACAAACGACAAGTTGAGGTCATTGGTGCGAAAATGGCAAACTTTAATTGAGGCTCATGTCGATGTGAAGACCACTGATAATTATACTTTGAGGATGTTCTGCATTGGGTTTACTAAGAGGCGAAGTAACCAGGTGAAGAGGACCTGTTATGCACAATCCAGCCAAGTTAGACAGGTATAATCACATCCACTTTCTTGCTTCTGATATGCAATGTTGGTTTCTTTTCAATCTGTTTTTCAAATATAACGAGATCGGAATATAGTCCAGCCTTCATTGGGTTAACTTGTTTGAACATGCTTTTTAATTGAATCTCTCTCAATATCGAAAGGACCTAAGAGAATATCAGAAATTTGAAGGATGTGAGCTTAAGTTATATCATTACCTGTTTGTTATAATGTTGCAGTTACGAGATTCTCTTTCTGGTCTTGAGAATTGGAGAATGGGTTTAGCCTCTTGTTATCTTATATCATTACATGTTTTCTCTATTTTTTCAATTGGAGGGTGATTTTGATATTTAATTGCATAAGACACAACTTTATTTTTCAGATTCGAAGGAAGATGAAGGAGATAATGATCAACCAAGCAACATCCTGCGATTTGAAAGAACTGGTCCGCAAGTTCATCCCTGAGATGATTGGCAAAGAGATTGAGAAAGCAACATCAAGCATCTATCCCCTACAAAATGTGTTCATTCGTAAAGTCAAAATCCTGAAAGCTCCGAAGTTTGATCTAGGGAAACTGATGGAGGTACGCCCTTTTCATTAAAAAATTTCATACTCCTCTGTTCTTATATGTCAATGAATGTTTCAATGAGATAATGATTCTTGTACCTGAAAGAAAATAGTCAATCATTGCGGGATCCATCATTGCATCATTGAGTGTATTGTTGCTGGTTTGAACCGAAGTTTTTGTATACGCTGAGGATTCATTTTTCCCTCCATTATTTTACTAACACTTTTTGCTTGCAATCCTTTTAGATTCATGGAGATTACTCAGAAGATATTGGTACAAAAATGGATAGGCCTGTTGACGAAACAGTGGTTGAGGGAGCCACTGAAGTGGTTGGAGCTTGATTGACTCATAATGCAATTTTGTGATTTGGAACTGATATTGCTTCTAATTCAGTTTTGTTGACATTTAGAAACTACATTTGTTTTTTAGGCCAAAATTTCTTGTTGGCTTATTAGTTTTTTGCTGTCATCTCCAATAAATAACTGGTACAATCTTTGAATACTATTTATGAAGATGTATTTATGTTGCATATCAGAATTAAGCTTCTACTGACCAGTAATTGCTCCATTTCTTGCACCTAATGAGAGCTTGCGGCATTTTATTTCTTTTGCATCGGATTCAATTGGGCTTAATGAATCTTATTCACAGACAACCCATTTTTGTTAGAACTGTTATACTAATCAAACTCACGGCTGTTTAGGACCTCGATTTAAAAGAAAAGTGTTGATATATTTGTTAACAATATCAATTAAATTTTATAAAATCATAATTAAAATGTATTACGTTAAATAAAACTAAAATGTACGAATTTTTGTGATGTTTAATACATTTTGTTTACGTTGTGGAGGTTGTTAACATTTTTTAATAGATAGTTAAGATTTATTATAACGTTGTCATTTTGTGAGTGCTATTGTTTCATGAAAGGCCTTGAGGTTAACCGTAGTTTTTTTTTTAGATTTAAATGTTTCAATTTCTCACGTTACAGCTGACTGTTTTTAGTATTTAGTTTTTTTTACTATTAATTACTTTAGAAATCTAATTTCAGATTTAAGCATACTAATTTTATATATGTTATTATTATATAGTGAAAATATTACTTGTTTTTTTCTGTTTATTTTTGTAAAAAAAAAATCAATAAAAAAGCAACACGGTAATTTTTAAAGTAAAAATGTAAACAAAATGCCAAAATATATTTTCATCATATTTAGATGCCATTTATTTTTCTACATGACATTTATATATTTAAGAACCTCAACAAGCTGATTGCAGTGTAGTTGTTTAACTCGTTTGTGGTGTGATCAGTGTGAAGTTTGTGAAGTTACTTAAGTCGTTTTTTTTATCTTCGAATAATATCATAACGTGCCAGCTGATGCACAAGATCACATAAGGTAAGGCTCGTGCAGAACGGTGAGAAATCTTAATTTTCTATGGTAATGGGCAACATTATGATTTAAGTTTTGCCTTTTATTTTACATTTTCTGGTATTTTTGTCCAACAAGGATAAAAGTTCAAGGATAAAAATTCATCTCGTAATTCATTTCTAATAGTATCATATCTTCCTATTTCATTAAGAATAAAAATAGGTCCAATCCTTACCACTTTAGAAGACAACTAATCCTACTAAAAAAATGTAGTAATAAGCTTTATTTTTTTGGCGAATAGATTTAAGTTAACGTAAAACCATAATTGTAAATAATGTAATACAAATAACATAATTTTCTTTGATAAGCTTCTATTGCTTTTCACACGATTCATCAAACCTGGTGTTTAACTAATGCTTCACTTATTTAGCATATACACTTAGCCCTAGACCAAGAACAATGAAAATAGGCGCAAAGTCTGGTCTATTATAATACCTAGTTTGCAGCCGGTCCTTCTAGCTCTAGATATGTTTGATTGAGAGAAAAAAAAATCTCAGTTGTTTTCTTTCCTTTGAAAGAGAAGGTAATTTTGCCAAAAATTATAACTTAATTCGCACAAGACTGACTCGAATAGTGTGACTTTTCACTGAGAATCTAAACGCTGGACTAAAAACTGTGCGAAGTACTTTTCAAGGTGCATGTGGTTAAATGCCACAATCACAAGGTATCCTGCACAATTGATGGTAAACGATCATCATTTAAACTCAAGCTAAGTTACAAAATAATAAGAAATGGGTGACTTGGTTGACTTATAAGCATGTTTGTTTTTCCATTTGAAATGGGATTGAACGTCTATCCAATAAAGTTCCCCTTTCACGCTCGGGAACCTCGGAAAGTAGTACGTCTCTAAACAAGCACTCTTAAAAGTTAATCCATTCTTCCTTTCAATATCGTCTCCTTTACTTCGGTTGGGGTGCTGCAATAAATAAACCAAAAGACTAGTGAGCCATAAAAATTACAATATACGAACGTCTTAACGAAAATTAAATTTAGAATAAACATCTAAATGCAAATGTCCTAGTTTAGGAGAAGAAAATTTTAAAAAAAAATGACTCAAAGAAAAATAAATGATAATGGAGAAAAGGCTACAAGGTTTTCTTTCAAATCATTACAGGAATCCGATTTCATCCTACCCCCTCCCCTCCGGGGCTGCTTTATCAATCACTTATCATGTGTATATTGTCGGCATTGCTATGTCATCCACGTGGTACCGCAGTGACTCTCGTTTCACCTAAACCTAAAATATTTAACTGTGTCTGTTCTATCATAACAAGGAAAATTAATCGTGACCCACAGAAATTTAAAGAGTAACATGTACCAAAACACCATCTTTGGAAGTAGATCAGGATTTGATTTCATTATGCTATTACTGTTTTGTCTAGAATATGGCAAAAGTATCATCAACTAGTATAAAGTATGGATGCTTAGTGCCTTCCAAAATGGTAACAGCAGTATGCCAAAAACTTGTGGTAAACTATGATGAAAAATGGAGAAATCACAAACTTACACAACATAAACATGTCCACCCCAGCCACTTAAACAATCTCGATCGACAGATGATTGTAGCGCTTGGGAGATAGTCTCGAACAATTCCTCTGGTTCCTGAGTCACAATTAAGAAACCGAGGGAACATGAATAATCTTCTTCTCGTCAAAGATCATGAAAAAAAAGTTTAACATCTTTGAAGTTTCAAGAATATATCATAAGCATGATAAGTTTGATAACCCGTGAGAACATGGGAAATCAACTGAAAACTTGAGCCTCTATTCGTAGCAACTTTAGTTTGCAGAACATCTTATTTCATACAACAGTTTTGCCCAACATTTAGGCATATTACACCTGATTTGCATTTTGCAGTTGTTATAATCTGTATTAAAAGAACCTTCAACATCAAGTAGACATGCACTTGAAATAACACTTTCTTATTTGTACGTACCCCATTTGTAATACCAACATTAAAAAATGAAAATAAATGACTTGCTGATTTGTGTGTAGTGTGAGATGTCTTCGCTGGAAATGAAAACTGGAGTTTCCTAGTGTTACTATCGACAAAATATTTTATTATAAAGCAGTGTTCCAAATACAAGTCTTATCACTTAAGCAATTCCAATACATCACATCTATTTCTAATTCGAGCCAGCATATGATAGGCACACGTAACAAGCTCTGTGGTAGAAGAACAGCAATGATACTTAAACAGTTTTTATAACGACTTATGTATTATGGAATGGCTAAATCCCACTTCAAAAAGTGAGATACTCAGTGAAGTATTTAACTGTTCGGCTTTCTTCCCTTAATATCTAGCTTTTGAAGGTGGGTTTCCAAGTACCTACCTATTGGTATCAGATTAAATATCTACCAATTAATGTAAAGTAAGAATATAAAATGTTTATTATTTTATGAGATAAAAGGATAAAAGTACCAAGAACAGACTCCTAATGGAGTTCTTTGTATACAACGACACTGCCCTCCCAAAGGAGTTCATCTTTAAAAGATGGATTACTAAAATACTCCTTCCTGATTATTCTAATAAAAACCAGAATACCCAATCTCCTTAAGTTCTGCCAACTCCCAACACATAGAGGTTACTCTCCTGTTTTCCTAAAGGCAGCAGTAATATACATGCAAATGTATCTATATTCATACACATATACCGATAGGGTATAAGGTAATAGATGTTGTTAGGGGTTGGAAGGTATACGAGAGAAGAAGAAAGTATATGAGAGAAGAAGGGCACCGAACGGTGGAAGGCGGGGAGAGGTCAAGCTGAACGGTGGAAGGCGGTGAGGGAGAAGAAGAAAGGCACCGAACGGTGGAAGGCGGGAGAGGTCAAGCCGAACGATGGAAGGAAGTGAGGAATCGAGCCTAACAGCTGAAGGCGGCGAGGGCTCGAGCCGAACGGTGGAAAGAGGTGAAGAATTGGAGCCGATCGATTGAAGAGTTACTATCCTAACTGTTGTAGCAATTAGCATGGGCGGGAAATATTTGGTAATAATTATAGTAAATAGAGCTATATCCTAGAGAAATATTCAATATAAGATAATTATAGTAAATAGAGCTATATTCTAGGGAAATATTCAGTATAAGATAATTATAGTAAATAGAGCTATATTCTAGGGAAATATTTAATATAAATAAAGCTAGATGCTATTGTTAGGGTTAGGTTTTTGATTATTGAGTTTGTTGATAGGCGACTACATCGTGTGAGGGAGATTATGCTCCCAATGATCCTTGTTTTGTAAGGGAAGTTATGCTTCCAACTATCCTTTGTTTACAAAATTCTATTACCATTAACAAGAGAAATTCATTCTTTCTTTATCTTTTCTACCTACTGTGATCGTGATTCATTACGTTTCTTACCCGGAAACGTAACATATACATTCATAGATGAAGATAAAAACGGATAACTAACTACTTCCAAAAGATAAATAAAAAAGAAAGAAAGCTAACTTATTTCAATTTTTCTAGATAAGGATAAAAATAGGATAATTAAATTCTTCCAATTTCTAGGCTATCGTTGGCTCCCAGGAGATACATCATGTGATCCCATCTATTGTACATAAATGATCTTCTGAATATATGCAAGCAGCTATTCCGATTAAGATTCAGCAATACGTGAACATGTCCATTTGCATATACTTATTTCATAATTTAGTATTAAAACACAAGTACAGACATGACTGCAAGAATTTCAAATTTTATAAAAAAAAAAAAAAAAAAAAAGAGTGATGTCAAAAGCAACAAATTAAATATAGAGACAAACCATGTCAGGCTTAAACATTGACTCGCAAGCCCCATAAAGAGACTCAGATGCAGTACCGGCTACAACAAAATCTTTTGCAAGTTCCCTGTCAAAGCAAAAAAGCATAAAAAAATGTTATTACCCATTAACATCACAAACATATGGCTTCAATGAAAAATAAAAAGATTGTTCTAATAACGAAAGGGAAAAAGTTGCTTAGATTTTCAAAATAGAAGAAATCTACAAAAGAAAAATAGATTAAAGAATACTTAGTGCGGTGTGCATCCAATTGAGAAAATAAAATCAGTTATTTATTGCTTCACTGTCAAAGTTATGTGCATAGAGTTCATTCAACAACACTTCAGGGCACATGGAAGGGGTACCTTAAATATCAATAAAATTTAGAAACATTTTTTTCCAACAAATTGGTAGTTTGAAAAAAACTAAAATGTCCAGCACACTAAGTATTTAGCTGCAGAAACCAACGTCTGACTATGACAGTTGTGCCACTTTGTTTCTCTCAACAGAAATGATTATTAAGTCATAAAAATTTAAAAAGACGAAAACATTCAGAAACTTCCTCTGATATCTGATTCTAGAGTAGCAAAAATAGCTAGAAATGACTAAGCAAAAATAGTTCAGCAAAATTATTCAGATTTGCAGATGCTGTTATTCACCAGTCTCCATATAAATGCATGATAATATGTGAAATGTATTATAGAATTATGACTCAGAAGAAATGTGTATATATCATATGCATGTCATTAAAACACTAACCTTGCTCAACACTCAACCGTAAATAAGGGCATAGATTATACAAGACTTCAACTTACTTTGCTCCAATCGCATCCATGGTGCAAATGAAAGGTTTATCTTCATCTCCTAGTCCAGCAATTACAGGTTGGCAAAAGTATGGACCAAACCTGAAATGCAAAAGAACATATTTTGCTTTTACAGTAATCAAGTGAGCTGACAACTTCCACAAACATAAAATAGAATTATGCATATGATTTAAATTGTGCACAAATATTCCACAAACACATCCACTTCATTGAAATAATGGAGAATTCATTTGCTTCACAAAATACGTCTCTTCCTTTTTTTTCCATAGTCAGTCAGTTGATAGTTATTTAAAGTATAGAAAACGGGATCTTCATCCTATCTAAACATCATGTTTGTCAAGAAATAGACTTTAAACCTAACTCAACCTTACAAATCTGACTTGTAAGATGAAGTTTGCACCCATATATACACTCTAAATTGGCCTTAACTCTAGTCAACGTGGAACTTCCAATATACCCCTCACACCGAGGTATATACATCTCATGCATGAGACTAGACATTAATGAATGGTCCGATAACGACTTGATATCTGGTAGAATAATATGTCCAATAAACAACAAATTTCACTATGATAGACTCTAAACCATGACTTTGATATTATCAACGTGGAACTTCCAATATACCCCTCACACCGAGGTATATACATCTCATGCATGAGACTAGACATTAATGAATGGTCCGATAACGACTTGATATCTGGTAGAATAATATGTCCAATAAACAACAAATTTCACTATGATAGACTCTAAACCATGACTTTGATATTATGTTAAAAAGTAAACTTTAAGCTTAATCCAACAAAACCGGCTTAACCGGCTTATAAGTTGAGATTTTCACTCACTTATATACTCTAAATTGACTTTATCACTAGTCGATGTGAGACTTCTAATACAATCCCCTCTGTCGAGGTATATATCTCTAGCGTAAGACTAGACATTAGTGGTGGCCTAATAGCGGCCGATAGTAGGTGGAATGATATGCCAAATAAACACAAATCTCACTAGAATAAACTCTAACTCATAGCTCGTATAGTATGTAAAGAAGTGGACTTTAAGCCTAAATCAACCCCACAAAACCAACTTGTAAAATGATGTCTGCATCTACATATATACTTTAAATTGACCATATTTCTAGTCGATGTGAGACTTCTAATAATATTCATTAACACATTCCCACACCAAAAGAAGGAAAATGAAACACATTTAGATTGCATGGCCATGGACAAAACTAGAGCAGTTCCACAAATGTTTTATTGAGTTACAACAATTTTATGTTCACAAATACAAGAGTCTTATATTACTCTGCATGTTCAGTTAGAAAATATTCCGAGTCAATTTGAATATACACCATCAGTCAAACACTTGAAGTAGCATATTCGTACAAGATATTACACCTTTAGCGATGCAACTTTCAGTTTGTTGACAGGAGACATGCTGAGGTAGGAATATGTTTAGACATAATTTTTGTTTCTGTATCTCATATTCATAGCAGCAGCATCACTATTATGTTCTGCTGATGAGAACATAATTCTTTCAATAATACCAAGTCTCCCTTCCTCCCCCGAGAATTACCTTAACAATACTAAATCTATTTCCCATCTTCTCTCCCTTAACCCCAACCTTATATATTCGTTCCTTTTATGAAAGATAGAGTTACACCATCAAGTTTTAGAATAAGAACTTGAACATCCAACAAAGTCAATTCCAAAATAAAATACACAGCTACGGCGTTCAATATATAAACAAAACATCTGGATAACGCCACCAAAACAGAATTTACCTACAAATCGACTATGCAAATTTAACATTTAAAAGCAAACAAAAGATTTCAGTTAAACAGACGACCGAGCACGGCATCCTGCGGTTGACCACGAGGCCTAGAACACAGTCTGGAGCTACTACACCGTTACAATAATGGAATGGAAGGATTCAGAACTCACCGTGTTTGGTAACAGCGTCTTTATTTATCATGCGATTTTTTATTTTTTTCATTCTCAGATAAAGCAAAGAGGCACCGTTATTGATAAAAGTGCAAAAGTACCCTAATCCTAAGAATAATTGATAGAATTAAGACGGAGAGACACACCTTTTCTCGTAGAGAATAGCAGAGACTAGGCTAGCGAAGGTTTCGGGCTTCATATCCCTCTCTTCACGCAGCTGATACAATTTGTGGCGGAAAACGAGGCGCTGGTAGAGCGTCTGAGCGTCGGTGGCGAGGCCCGAGAGACCGATGAAAAGCTTGTCGTGGATCTTGGAAATCCTCTGGAAATCGGTGGCGATAGTCTGGAGCTGAACCCCGAGTCTCCGATCGCTGGCAATGGCGAAGCAGTTCTTCCCCACCATGGCCACTAGGGCACTCCCATTGTACTCGAAGATCGACATCTTTCGCTGCTGATCAACCAATTTTCTGATTTCGTGACATACACGGGTATTTGCTAAAATCTGTAGTGTTTGGAACTAAGCCCTAACGTGGTGCTAAATTTAATAAATATATAAATTATATCCATACCCTAATATAATTTATTAATATTGAGGACTAATTTATAGGATTCTTCGTTATGCACAACATTGTCTCATAATTTCTAATCTTCTAAGTATGATTCTATCATTTTAGCATCTATTTAAAATAATATATATATATATATATATATATATATATATCATGAATTTATTTTAATTAAATATAATCGATACATTTGCTTGTGTACAATTTAAAGAATGTAAACATATATATTTTATAATCAAGTTTATATTATATATAAAACTTCTTATTTAAATAGTTTAAACACTGCTAAAAAAATATATACGTTCAATAATATATAAAAATGTGTTTACAGTTATCCAAAACATAATTATAAGTCAAGTTTATATATAACTTTATTCTAAAAACTATCTATTTATTTGTACAAAATTTCTTACATTATAACCCAAAAAGAACACTAACTACACTAGGCAAATTGTCATTTGCACTTTATGGCCCAGTGTTTCTTTTCTGAGAGACTCATCAAGTGATCATTTCAAAATTATATAATAAACACAAGTAAACAAATAACACAAAAAAGATAAGCTAATATCAATAGAATAAAACATGGAATTCAAAAAATAACATATAATATTTTCACTTTCAAACTAAGCACAACGCATAAACATATTATAACATCTAGATACATGTATTATTGTCGAACTATGGCGATTTATGCACTTATGGTGGCCTCTACTCCTCTGCAAAACAATTGCCAATAAGTTTCAGTCTATCATACACAAAGTTAGTCCGTTAAACGCCTTAGGTCAAGGTAAAGCCCTTAGACTAGGATCTCTTTCTACTCTTATTATATGTCTCACCCCTCTCTGCTTGAGAATAGATGACCATTAGGGTATCAGGATAACCCCAAGACTGAGCTCCTACAATAATACATACACTGCTTGAAACAACCATGAAGACTTTCCCCTTAGAACTCTTTTCAAACCATACTTAACCATATACATAACCTCATGCATAAACCATCATATAATTCAATATATATTACTAAACAAGCTTTAAAGTATTAGTACATCTTTCATCCATAAAAAATAAAAGAGAAGAAAGCAAAATCCTAACATGCATACAAGGCGCCTAGTGATAGAATCATGGCGCTCAACGCTAGACACCCAACGAGAACGCAAACAGAGAGTTCTCAAGCGCAGTGAGAACTCTCGCCCACCTATGAAACATACAATCATCCCTCACCATTAACATGCCTAATGACCTTATACTTGTCCAACGCCCAAAACCCATAAAAACATCGCTCAACGCCAAAATGGAACGTTCAACGCCATACCAGATGACAATAAGTTGTTGTTCTGATTTAAATGCACCTTGAAGCTATCCAAATGACAAAATTTACTTCCTTGACACTATAATTGATGCAAAAACATGTTTATTGATCAAATTCATTACCTCTTTGCTCATTTGGTAAAAAAAGAAGATACCTTAGATCAACTCAACCACTTAAAAACACCTATAACCAATTTGACACATTATGAACCAAATTTTAGTAAACTAAGGGTCTAAGCAAGTCACAATTGACTCAAAAATAGACCTCAAACCTTCAATTTTATTACAAACTTACTCCTTTAGATTTTCATCTATTAAAACCCTTAAAATGGATCGAAAATAACCTAAACTAAACCTATTAGCTAATTACCAACCCAACATCACATTTATGGTTTATTAAAGTCCTAAATAATTATCTAAAACAGCTTCCCAACATCAATTATAGTTCAAAAATCACTCTTGTAGAAAATTCACCTACCAAAACCTTAATTTAGACCAAAACTATCCCAACAACACTCCATTTTCACTACTTTTAACTCTATAACAAATTTATACTACCTAGAACTCCAAAACAATAGCATCACATATTCAATCAAGCATCATTTCACAAGCATACACCATTATATTCATCAATAGGCAAATATTCACTCATTAAGATACACACTTCACTCAAATTGTAACAAATTCAACTCGTATATAGTTCATAGTCTATAAAACATAATTACATACTTCTTAACATGAAACTTATTAGAAAATGGTTTTAAGCCTAACTCAATCCCACAAAATCGACTTGTAATTTGCACCTCACTTATATTATAATTTAGCCTTATCTTTAGTCGATGTGGGGCTTCAAACACACCTCCTTCATGCCGAGGTATAGACATCTCGAGCGTGAGAATAAAATTAATGGGTGGTCCGATAGTGGCTCGACAACGGGTGGAACAAAATGTCCACATAGATCTCGCTAGAATAGGCTCCAACCATGACTCTGATACCATATTAAAAAGTGTTTTTAAACCTAACTCAACCCCACAAAATTGGCTTGGAAGATGAGGTTTGTACCCCACTTATATATTATAGTTTTGTCTTATCTCTAATCGATGTGAAACTTCCAACAGAACTAAAACAATTATTTTTACCCCGTCACAAGTTGACTTGTTTCTACCCGACCTTATACACTCTAAAGACATATTATTCTTTAACTTTACACTTTCTGAATCAGACAATTGACTCGTGAGATAAATGAGTCATGATCCATCCAGACCATATATAAGTGAGAATCCATAAATCCATAATTATCTTATAAATAGTTCATCCATCGAGATAAATGGATGACATTTATATTGACAACTATTTGACACACTCTACTAATTTGAATATCAAAGTATTTTTTGTAGACATACCACGTTCATGGAGAGGACAAGTACAAAAAGAGAGTAAAAAGAGACTCATTTCACTTGTAGAAAAAATGAAAAAGTCCATAAAAGCCATCAGAGATTAGTTAAGGGAGAACAATTACCATTACCTAAAGTTATCTTTAGTTTATATGACTTTTCTTTCATTCAAGTCATGGTATAACTTTCCCACATTTATATTGTAATAAAATAAACATTTTAAATGAAATTCAAAACCTCACGTAATAAGTATTTGCAACTTCATTATATACATTTGAAAGTACTAAAATCAAGACCGAGAGGCCATACTGTTATTTGAGGGTTGGATATATTTTCAAACTGTTGAAAGGTGTAGATCCATAGTTAATAAATATTAATATAGATATTGCTCTTTGAATTTAGTTTTATAATTTCTCTTTAGTTTATCAAATTACCCTTTTCTTTGTAAACTGAATCACATTATAAAGTTCAGACGATTAGGTTAAATGTTAAACGAGCAAAGATTTCACGGATCATTCTAAAAAAAGAAATTAAAATTTAAACTCACTTAAAAGTAGCAAATAAAACAAATAAAGTTAATCATCATTTACATACACCCACGTATTATATTAATAAAATTATCGACAACTACCATTCATTTAAAAAAAATTGCTACCATTTGTTATGTGTGAATTGAAACTTTATCTTTAAACATTTCTTGAAATTAAAAGACAATTATTATTTATTATTTTTGTGTCCACTTTTTAAAAACATATTTTTAAGTGTTTTCTCACCATACTAGTTGTTGCAATATTTTACTCTTCTATCTCGAAGTATATATATACTTAAAAGAAATATTAAAATATCTTAATTTGTTTTTATGAAATAGTTTTTAATTCTTTTATAATAAAGTACATGCATATGCAATAAATATTTAAGAAATGATATAATCTGTTAAATAATATATATAATTATTCATATTGAGATATTATTTAAAAGTTAGGTGTGAGAATATGTAAGAGAATTGTGGTAAAATTAAATTTGAGTAGGTACGATACCATTCCTTGGATTCAACCAATTATGACAAATTTATTATTGCAGTTGATTGAGAGGACTGAAGATCAGGGAAGAGGACCAAATAAAAGTAGCGCCTTGTTTGGTTGGATGGAATAACGATAAGAAGAAGAAGCAAAAGCAGCAATGGCAATGGATGGAGGAAAGCGGAATGCGGTGGAGAAGTTCTTCTTTGCGACTCTACTTCTCTGGTTAGGCTCCGTTTGTTTTGAGATTTTGTTGAATCAGCGGTGGGAGCTTCTATCAGTCATAGCGGGTTCGATCTTCTATCAGACATCTAATAGCATCATCCGATTCTTCTTCTCCGCAGATAAAGATCCTCTCTTCGTTAACACTTCCGTCTCTCTTCTCCACTCTCTCTTCACTTCCGCTTCAGGTAATTTCTCTATTCATTTTCACCAATTCTCTAATTCTCTTATAACTTCGCCTCTTTTTTTATTATCACTTTGTTTCGATGCTTTTCGGGCCACCCGATTTCCATAGCCAGAGAGCAGAGTTCTAGGGATATTGAACTTATCTTTTGTAAAAGAGAAGTAATAATTATATGAATTACGGCTTAGTCCTTAGCAGGTTTAGTAAACCTTTGCTTGAATTGAAACTCGGTTGAGGGAGAGTGTTTCGATAATATCCATCAATCAAGCGTTCTACGAGTCTAGTTTTCTAATTGACCGTGAATCTCCAAAATTCCTTTGTTTGAATGAGTTTGTCCGTAGAAGCATTTATAGGAGAAAAATTACTTTTGTTTCTTCTGAAAGCGAATTTTAGGTTATGCGTAGCCTAAGTTATGTTTATGAAGTTATCTTATTTCGATTTTTCTTACCAAACAAGACCTTAAGCTACTTTCCTGCATTTCTGTGGGTGGTTCTTTGCTAAAATTCTTTCTGTTGGATCGATGAGAATTCCGTATAGATATTGTGATTTTTAATACCTTTTCCCCTTTCTCTTCTCATCGGGTTCTGGCTGTTATTGCCTTTTCTTTTGCAGTGATCTTCATCTTGTTCAGAGAGTTGTTAGGTACTGGGCCAAGTGGAATGTTTGACCACTCACAGTTGGTTGAACATACTTGGCCTTGGGCTTTTGAAGCATTGAGCTTCTCATGTGGTTACTTTGCGTATGATCAGTGGGATATGCTTCATTATCGCTTGTATAATGGTTGGATCCCCTCTATCCTTGTGCATCATCTGGTTCTCCTTATCTGCTTCACTCTTGCTTTGTATCGAAATGTTACCATCAACTACCTTATTCTCACTCTTATCTGTGAGGTAAGCCACATTTCCTTTGAAACTCTTCCTTTTTGTGTGTACTTGTTTATATCTAATGTTTTTTTTTTTTTGCTTCAAAAGACTAGAATTTTGGGACTAAGGTTTTCCCCCTTTCCTAAGTTGTGTGTGTATGTGATATTCGTAGAAAGATATTGCTAGATAGTGGTAAAGCACTGTGTCCATGAGAAAAATTGTTAGATTGTTGTGAATCACATGATCCCCATTAATTTTTATGAGACATAGTTGAGCGTTTTAGTAAGTAAGAATTAGTAACACATGATTATGTAAAGATTTGTTTGAACCGAGACTATCTCACCTCAAATCATGTTATAATTTCTCATTTGTATGAGTGTGTGTTGTTAAACCCTGAATACATACTACTCACCGGTGACTGTACAAACTAAGGAATACTTATTTGTGATGTATGGCTCAGCTGCATTCCATCTTTCTGCATGTGAGAAAAGTGAGACGAATGGCCGGTATTCGGGATGCAAAGAGCATTCATGTTAAGTTAGAATGGTTTCTGAATTGGGTCACCTTCTGTGTGGCAAGATCTGTACCTCACATTCTCATCACAGCCAAACTCATGAAGGATGCTCACAAATTTCAAAAGGGTGTAGAGCTACCACTGGCTCTGTTGGGCATGGCTGGGATGAATTTGCTCAACATTGGTCTTGGTATGGATCTTCTCAAAGCCTTTAAGAGAGAAAGGAAGTCCCAGCAGCGAAATCTTCATGACCACCGTGAATGAGAGAAAAAGTACAATACAGTGCTCTTTTTGGTGTATGTACAACAATCTTTAATCTTCAGCTGAAGTGAAAAGACGGAGGGAATTGGTGCAGCAGGCATGGAGAGGATTGAGTATGAATATGTTGAGCCTCTTAGTTTTTTAAATACAACACAAATAGATTATTTGTAATTTCCTCTAAAAGTTATTTGGAAGCATCAACCATGTATCCTGGTAAGTTGCCATTTATCATCCCCTCCTTAGATTTAGACACACGAGTTTAGCATAGTATTTATTTTTTTTCTGAAAATTTGTATAAGGCCTAATGTTATTTTTGTCCAGTTTGTTTTGGTGTTTTGGTACATTTAATTTTAAAAGTCTTAACATGATAATTGACGTATCCGTAAATATAATTTTGTAAAAGTTTAATACGATGGTTTATGTTTTTAAAATGATTTGTTTCTGCTACCTGTCTTTAAGATCATTCAAATTTTCAACCGTTTGACTAGTTCGATTAGCTTAGTAACATTTTTGTTTAAAATGACCAAAATAAATTCTCTTAAAAAATATAACATGTCACATTAAGACTTTGAAAACTTAAATGTATTAAAACGCATAAATACCATACCATTACTTTTTAAAAGTAGTGTTTAGCTTTTTTGAAAGCAATCATCATATCATAAACTCTACTCAGATTTAACCAGTAAAAATATCTAATATAAAAATAAATATTAAAAATTGTATTAATAATGTGTATGCATAACATCATAACCTTAGTACAGTAATAATTCAATGTTTCCGCATCCTTAAAAAGAAAAAAAAAAACTAGCAAATCACAATAATAAGATGTAATAATTCAGTACTAGTGCCAAATAAGTTGAAACTAAATACATGATATAGTTATATATAAATTCATAAAAACATAAATTTTGGGGGAACAATCTAAAAACTTAGTTAATTTTGTCAAGTAATTGAAGTTTAATAAAATATTATCATTATTGAATAAAGTTTGAAAAGAATTACATTTGAATTTAAACTTAATGATTCATTGACTAAATTCGGTACGAATTTAAATAATTTAATTAGAAAAACAAATAAACACGTTTAAATTGTAACTTCATAACAAATTTGAGTACTTTCTCCTAGCCTTTTATTTTTCTATCATTCTTTCTGTCTGTATCATGTACCTATGTTTACTTCAATTTCTTTTAATTTAAATACTTTGTTTTTACCGCAGAGGCAACAACTTAATATTCCGTTGCGTGCTTTTGTTTTTAGCATAGAATGACAATTAATGTTTCGTTCCTTACATAAATACAACTACGACATACAAAAAGAAAACATTTTCAAGGTGAAAACAATTACAGAGGGAAGTGGGATTAAATAATTCAATCTAACTAGCATTAACAACAAAAATAATAATATTATATAACTCCGTAATACTAATAATTAAAATAAAACATGATTTTATAATTTTATTACAATCAACCTCCATCTTGATTAAAATTTATATATAGGCAGCAAGAGTGCTAGAAAGGTAAGCTGACATGGCTTGAATGAGAAAAATCGTCTTTCTATGTCCTATATATAAATGAAAAATAGGAGCTTCTCTCAAAGGGGTGGTGGCGCAGTTGGCTAGCGCGTAGGTCTCATAGCTTCTGAGTTATCCTGAGGTCGAGAGTTCGAGCCTCTCTCACCCCATTTTGTTATGTTTTTTATATGAATGTAATTAGTTTTTTGCCATGATTGTTTTTAGTTTTCTTGTTACGGTTGATACATTTATCAACGGGACACTGAAATATTTATACGTAGCAAAACTATAAAAAATTTGATCCATGGTTCAACACAAGCATTCGAAAAAATTGATAGTCATTATTATATATGATAGATAGCACTAAATGAAGGAGTTCCATCATTATAGTTTTTAATCCCCACTAAATTTCTAGTTGGAGTCCACTCTCGGTTTGAGAGAAAAAATTTACAAAACCATTTATACTCTTCTCAGAATCATGCTTTGGCAAGTTGGTTGATGATGGTGGTGGTGAGCTTTCTTCATTTCTACTTGAAGAACCGGAATCTCTTTCAGTTGAGTATGTGCCATTTGAATGCGACTTCACCATGACTGCACCGTCTCTAGCAATGAATGATGGAGTAGCAGAAAGTTCTGGAATGCTGGTAGTGTCAATCAGGAAATCTTCTAGTGTTGCTAGTGAACTTAATTGATTCCCCAAAGACGCTATTGTTTTCTGGCACTCAGCAAGCTTTCCTGCAGCTAATGCTAGGTCCTCCTGGCGTAGAACATGTAAAAAACATTAAAAGAGTTTTTATGTTAGGAAAATTTAATATAGATGTTAATGTTCATGATTACCAACCTGCTTTAGCTTCATTTCACTGTACGAGGTTATTGACCCAAATTTCTCTTCCTGCTTCTTTCTTTCTAGTTCTTCCTCTAATTCCTTATACCTTTTTTCAATTTCTACTGATATGGCCTTTTCCTTATCAACTTCTGCTTCTAGTAAGTGAACTTTTGCAGTTATTGATTTAGCCTCGGACTGCATGCTCGTTAGTTCATTTTCAAACACTTGCTTTGATTTGTAGGCGTTCTCTAGCTCTCTTTGCAACTCCTCCAATTTTGTTTCTGCCTCCCTCATTTTAAGCTGTGATGTCTCAATGACACACTCACTTTTCATTAAACATGTCTTCACTTCCTCTTTCTCAGCTTTGGCCTTCTCTAGCTTCTCTTTTAGTTCATCAATTTGCCGATTGGTAGCGTCAAACTCATCTCTGATGGAGCTTTCTTCGTGAATGCAATCATTGGCAACAAGTGACTCTTTGATAAAGCTCTCATTCTTAGTATCTGGGAGTGCTGCGAGTCGTTCCATTTCAAGAAAATCATCCATGAGATCAATGTTAACAGAACCGGATGAAATTTGTTTGTACTTTTCATTCTTGAACTGATCAAGCTTAGCAATTAGCGCAGATGCCCATGAATCAGAACAACTTAATTCATCTATGTCTGGTTCTGAGCCACTCTTCTTTGTTGTATCAATCTCCACTGCTCTAGTCCTCTCTCCACTGTTTGATTGACCATCTTTGAGAGATTCAACACAAGAGGATGATGTAGTGGAAGCTCTAGAGGCCATGTTTGTCAGTCTCCGGCACTCAGCCTCGAGCTTGGCAACTTTATTGATGCTTTCTAAATGTTGCTTGCTAACCATCTCGGCTGTTTGAGTACTTAAATTCCATTCTATTGTCCTGAGTTCCAGTTTTTCAGATAGAGCTTGGAGCTCATGTTTGAGAACCGCGTTCTCTTTCTCCAAATATTCGACCTTCTGGTACTTATCAAAATCAATTGATGATGGAGAACTAGCATTCGAAAGATCTGATTTGCTCTGCACCTCCATGAGCTGCTTCTCTAGTGTACCTTTGGAAGATTCCAGCTCACGTGTTTTCTTTAGTACAGCATCATGAATGCTTTGCTCCTGCTCTTCCCTTGTTTGTCTAAGCTGCCTAACACACTCCCTAAGTGCACTGTCTAGATGTGTGACTCGATCTTCCAATGTTGAATTTCTGAGGGTCAGTGCCTCGACTTGTTTCTTTAAACTTGTCACTTCATTTTCAGCCTTTTCCCAGCCTATAAGTTCATGGAAATTATCCAGTTAAGAGACAATGTGAAACAGAAGAAAAGAAATATATATTCAGCAATCATTTAACATTAGCATTCATGCTGATCATATCTAAGCCATTTATACCAAAATACTATGGCACTAGTGGGAAAACGGAGATGAATGCTTTAAACTAAGTAAAAAGTTATGGACTAGAAAGGACTGGAGGAACATTATGGGAGTGGGGGAAAGTAAATGTGAGGAGGACAAGTGAAAGACAGCCAAAATAAGTGGTATGATGATATGGTGAGAACTAAGTCTCTACTGTAAAGTATGCTAAGTCAGGTACAACAAAATTTACTGCACAAAATGTAGGGGAAAGTTGGGTACGGGGAGAATAACTGAAGGGAGTATTCTCTATAAAATCAGTATAAATATATATACAGAAACTGCAGATAGGTGTTACACAGCACGATCCTACTTTCTCAATGATATGGGGTTGCAAAATTCCACCAAAGTGCATTGCTTTACCTGGAAAGTGTTTTACCTACTAGAGAAAACCTAAAGAAGTATTTTGTTTGAGCAAACTGATTTGGTATCCCCTCTATGCCTCGTGGATGAAAAATCAACTGAGCATGTCCTCTTAACATGTCCAAGAACCTTAGAATCGCATTGCCTTGTAACATACAGGTACACTTCTCTACACAAATTGGGTGTGGGAGTTTTCCAGAAAAATAAGTGGGAAATCCTTTGATTTGCTATTGCGTGGTGTTTGTGGTGAGAACGAAATAGATGTATTTTTCAGTAAGGAGTGTTTGTCTGTGACAGTGATGCAGATGGTTAAATTCTTGTGTGGGTCTTGGATCAACAGGCTAAAGCCCACAAAGAGTATGCCTTTCATCCGATGGGTTTACTGTCCGGGTTTGATTATGTGAAAATAATGTCCCCATTTATATATACATATCTTTTTGTCGAAAAAAAAAAAACAACTCATGCTGTTTCTCTTAAACCCTTTCCTTGATGGCAAAATTTCTAGATAGTTTGCTTGTTTAACGGATTAATTGTTTAGACACAAGTTCCTCTACAGCAAGCATATCCAAGTAAGAATAGAGAGGTAAGTACTGATCATTAAAAATAAATGTACCTGAAATAGCTTCTTCAGCGACTTTGGCATGTTGCTTAACCAAATCTTCTTTGGCACTTACATTCACGAGCGCTGCAGACAGCTTTTCTGACATATTCCTCAATCCATCAGGTTCATCTCTATCCTCTGATATACTTATCATTGCTCCATTTACATCTTCATCTGTCAAATCATCATTTATGCTGTCTGTTGCATGTGAGGTGACTTCAGGTGATTGTGAATAGAAAAATGACATATTAATATCTTCAGGTATGACCACAATTTTTGTGGCGACTTCGGGTGACTGGTTATGCTCAATAGGAGATCCATTCAATGCCTCAAGCTGCATAAACAAGAAAAATATACTTAGCATAAAGTAGAAGAAAGTAACGGGATAAAATATCAACCTCCAGCGATGAACAGCTCAAAAAAAATATGATAATTATGCTTCATTTACATTAATGTATGACAGTGAAGTTGGTAATATATACATCCTTCAATGAACTGAACTTACATACATTCAAGTCTAGGTCTACTCACAAGAAAAGAAAGTGGTCAATTATAATTGCAAGTATCAGAGAACTGATACATCCGAAAAGACATGCATGAGTCATAATTAGCCTTGTCTTAGTTCATTTGTTCAAACAATTTCGTTTTGGAGACAGACTCTGTAGGTATCAGCAATATCAAGACAATGATTACCTCTCCAAATAATTTAAGGGACCAATATCAGCAATCTGTGAAACCTGGCTCAATTGGATGAACGGGTTATTTCGACAAATCCTTCAATCTTCCAGGAAGTTTACTCGTGTTACAAGCATTATGACATTTGTGTATATTTATCTTAAGTAATGACATTTAATTACAGAAAAAAGAGAGAGAACCGGGGGAGTAAAACAAGTGAAGGCCATCTTAATAGCAGTAATTGAATGGTAAAATTCATCCATTAAGTGAGGAATTCTGAGTTTAGTACAGAACAGTAATCAAATTATAATTTAAAACTTCTGACTCGTGAATGTTAAGTATCATATCAATAAGACCCCAGATTTTTAAGAAGAAATAAAGACTGAACATGTATGGTGTCAATGTCAACCCAGCTTAGTAATGATTTCGAAAACAGCAAGTGTGACAGGCTTCTGGAGGTTTTTTCTTTTGTTTCAGTTAGCTATAATGACAGTATTAAACAGCTTACCGCTTCACTCAGTTGCTTCTCAGAAACGAATGATGCAGACTCTGAATTTTCAGTTTCACCAGAAGATTTCCTCTCCAATGACCCTCTATTTTCCCCCATCGTCCCCTCTAACTAATAGCCTGAGATTAACTTGAAAACTGCAAGCATTTCATCTGCGGAAAAAACCCAGATGTTAGAAGCTCACCCAAAACAAAGCACCGAAAACCTTCTCCATGGTTAAGACTATAATGAAGGGATTTATAAACAAACTTCGCTACCGTTTCACCTTGTTAGAGAACAGACTCTTCAGTTATACATGAGAAAGTGGAAAGACAAACTCAAAAGAACATTTATTCTTCAACAATCTCAATTATTTATACAGAAAACAAGATTCATTTCTTTCTTCTGACCATCTTTGTGTAGAATTCATAACACACCGACAATAAATTCACGAGGAATATGACTAAAGAATGAACCTTTACTTAATTTAAAGACGCAGTTCCTGGAGCGTTAGAGATTCGTATTCACATATACTTCGTAGCATTTGGCCTCAAATCTACAGATTGAAGGTAATGAAACAGTAAATGATATGATGGGCAATGACATGGTTTTTCTGCCACAAAATACAAACTGCCTCCAACATTCCCATAAATCAAACAATTGGAGAGAAAAAATGACTTCTTTCGTAACCCAACTTCAAAACATAAATGAAAATGTTGAGGAAACAAGAGATCAAGTACCTTTGAGTCTTTCACAGTGTGAATGACCAGCTTAAACGGTAGCAGGAACCCAAAAAAATTATGGAATTGTAAACAAAAAATCGGTTCGAAAGTTGACAGTTCAGAATCTATGGACAAAAAAAATCTGTAGAATGGCGAATAGTGCCCACATAGAAACATACAAAATGATAACTGCTACTGAGAAATAAAACAAGAAGCATGCAATGGGAGTTTCTAATTTTTGTTTTTATGATTACCCTTTTCTTCTCTCTTCAAATAAAATATTGGAGGGCACGTGACCGTTCGTGTCCAGTTGTGAAATTCAAGGTCAAGGGTGTGTATGACAAGAAAGACCACGATCACTTTTTTCAGCTTTTGGGAAATTTTTTTAATCTAATTTCGTATTTGAAATGAGCTTCTCTTATTCCCGCCATGGATGAACACTATAAATGGAACATAAATGCAGGTCACTGTCCACTTTCCTTCTTAATAATCTGTCTAAGACCCTAACAACTACATGTTCTGCTTTTTTTTCCCTTTTAAGTTTTGTTGTAAATTTTAAAGTTTCACTCAAAATAATTTCATCAATTCGTTGTTTTGCGTGTTGGTTTTGTATCTTCCTTCTATCAAATAGTTAAGAAATTGCGGGATAAGACAAAACAACGAATGATTGATTTATGATTATTATTATTAATTATGAAATAATTTTAGATCAATCAAATAATGACACGTATATAATATTAAAATATTGTCAAAATATCATTATCTTTATTTATTTATTTTTTATTAATAAATAAGGATATTTTTATAAAAGATTAATAATAAAAAGTTATATATTTATAATATTATTTTAAAATTTTACAATATCAATTAAATTAATTATTTTTATTAATTTGAGTTACTATAGAAAAAGTACCTTTTTATGAAAATAGGGAAAATAACAAAATTACACAAGTATATTGCATAAAAACCAAAGATGTATAATGATATACATGATCTATATAATTAGATTCAATGCACTTTTATATTTACATCCACAGCGAGGAGGTCCTTTTTCGCATGCGAAATTATAGCCGCTTAAAAGAGCAAATAATTCATCTCAGCATCTAAATCTTGTATAATGTTATATAATCAAAATAATTAATTAATCACTAATTTGCGGTTTTACCATAACGCGTGTCAGAAACATCTTAATTATTATTAAAATACGTTTTCCATATCAATTTACATATATTTATTAAGGAAGAAAGTACTTCAAATTTAATGAAAATTAATTTTAGTTTTTATAAAAAAATTCTTTTATATTTATTTTTGTCTTCTCATTTCAATTTTTCTCTCCTCATACATTTATTCTTATTATGTTTGACTTTAAACAGGAGAGAAATAATTTTAGTTTTCTTAACAAAAAAACAAGATAGCCAAGTAAAGATTAATTAGAAAATAAAGTTGGTACGGTATGACCTTTTATTAAGTCATAGACCGAAGGGTTGACTATTGGTGAGAAACTCAAAAGAACCATTTCCAAGACAGAAGAGTGGTTGAACATAGGTACTCTAAACACTAAACGAACTATTGAACTAAGATTTAAATTTGAATATAGGATTTCAAAATCCGAGTGAAAAAATACTAAATTCCAAAATATGAAGTAATAAATATAATATTTTGAAATATAGGAGAAATAAATATAATATTTCGAAATCCAAAAGCAATAAATATTGGTTTTTAGGAGAAATAAATATCGTATTTTAAAATTTAGAAGCATTAAATATTAGGTTTCGAATTTTAACGAGCTTTTTATCCAATTTCGAAATTAAGTGAGTTTCTTAATGGAATTTCAAATTTCCTTAAGTTTCTAAATCAAATTTTGAAATTGGGTAAGTTCTTAAATCAAATTTCAAGTTTTTAAATTGAATTTTGAAATCTAACAATTTCTTAAACCAAATTTTAAAATCTAATAAATCTTTTAAACTAGATTTGAAAACTTGATACATACAAAGTGAGACTAGGAAAGAAGAAAATGCGTGAAGACTTAATATAGAAGGCATCCAAATAAAATTGGCTTTATTTTGAACATGAATCAACATTTGAAGTGAGGCTGGACCATCTTCAAACACTACTTATGAGATCTTTTGTACAAACTAGCTTTCTAATTCATCTTTTTCATAGGGTGATTCTTTCTACACCTCCTTCTTTTTCTTTCTCCATCCCATAAAAGTGGTGTTTTTCCAAACCACTCCTAAAAAATACATAATAAAAATACCAATACTTCACTATTTTTAACATTTTTTGGATTTAATATTTTGAAAAATAGTTTTGGATTCGAAAAATACTATTTGAAACATCTAATCTAAAAGAAAAGAAAGAAATTTTCAAAATAAATGTTTCAAAAGATATTTTTGGATATAAAACTACTTTCCAAAATACTTAGTTTCATAATTTCTTCTCGAAACACCAAATTGGAATATAAAAAAAATTAATAATTTCAGCGGTCTTCCTTTTGATTTTTTTTTCTCTTGGATCTCTATTTTTTTAAAAATAAGTAATTAGATAATTGATGTTAGTACAATACTAACACCCTCAGTTGGTGTTTTCCTAATTCTTTTAAATATTTTTTTAATTTTTTTAATTTTTAATTTTTAATTTTTAATTTTTAATTTTTTTAAATATTTTTTAAAATAAATAAAAAATTATCATATGTTAAACTGACATAATAATAGTATGATGTGACAATAGTAATGTCATGTGTCACTATCATGCCACATATATTAGTCTCAATTTGGTTTTTGTATTTTTATTTTGTCATATTTTTTTTTAAATTAAAAAATTTTGTCCTTCTCCAAATTGAAATGAAATTTAATTTGTATATAAATGTTATACAAATATTTTATTAAAATTGATATTTTTATTTAGTTAATTATATAAATGTTAAGGTTTAAACCCTCGTATGGTCCTCATATATTGGATTCTAAATTTTGAAAAATCGTAACAATAAAACCCTTTTCGTTAAGTGTCGACAAACTACGTCAACATATGTTGATGTGTTGCACAGTAAATATGTTGATGTTAATTATTTTATTACGTGGAACTATTATTTAAATTAAAATGGTATATTAGTTTTTGACATGGCAAAATGTAATTGGTCATAGTTAAAATAATAGATTATGGATTTTGTACACTTCTGATTATGGTTTTGAACTAAATAGGGTTTAGAGAAGGATTTCCTCGGTCCACGTTGTTGACCATCACAACTTCGCTGATCTCCACGTTGTTTGAACTCCTCTCCCATCCTTCATTAACGCTCCTCCTCCCATCCATGGTAGCCCACTCTTCCTTTATCACCTTCATTGACGTGCCACCGTGAGGGCAAATTAGCACCATGGTCAGCGTTTAAGCTCTTCATGCCTCAACAAAACCTACCATCATCTCCACTCTTCTCCATCAAACCATTCGAAACCCGCAAAGAGAAAACAAAAACGTAGAGATCCCAAAATCACACCACAGAAAACCCCAAATTCGGGAAATCTAATCACAAGGAAGAACCCTTAAATCGCTCACGGTCTCCACCTTCACATCTCGAGCTCGTAGAAGCAAAAATTCAAAAATATAATCCCCTTTGCCTGGTCGCGACACCAAGTGAAACCAATTCGCGCCGCCTGAAGTTGTTGTAAACATCACCATCTCTAACGCGACTCCTCTTTCCTCCTCTCTCTTTGATTTAGGCTTCCTCGAGATAAAAGGAAAAATGAAAAGAAGAAGAGTCATCTTCCGATCACCTCTCACGCGACGAAGAAAACCTATGGCTGGGTTGGATGTGTGAACCTAAAGTAAAGAAGAGGAAGAAGAATAGTTACCTACCAGTAAACCAAAAAAAAAAAAAGAGGAAGGAGGAAAATGTCGCCCTTGCACGACGACAAAGGACCCTCTAATGTTGAGGTTTGTTCGCGAAGAAGAGGAAGCCAAATTGGGGAAAAAAGGGTTTCTGATTAGGTTAATTAATTCTTTTGAAAGCTAATTGAGATAATTAGGGTTAAGAGGATTTAATTGCATTACTTAATTAGAATTAGAGACGTAATTTAAAGTTGTCATTATAGTCATAATTGAAATTTTCCACTCAATAAAATCATCCAGATTAACATACTTTGACGCCAAGACCCACTTGAGATTCCTCAACAAATATGAGGGTCATCAGAGGGTTTAAATTAAAATGTTAATTATGCTTTATAAATATACCTATAAGAGTTAAATAAAAATAGTGGTGTGGCACACTTTGTGGATTTTTCAAATGACGTGACCTGGTAAACAAATTAAAAATGTGAAATTTTATTTTTTTTAAAAAAAATTGAAGAAAATTTCATAAAAACTCCATAAAGTTTTCTTCAATTTTTTATTTTAAAAAAATAAATTTTACGTTTTTACTACATATACCAAGTTTACTCGTATCTTTAATCCTTTAGAATTTTATCTATCAATACTTATTTTAACTAATCATATATATATATATATATATATATAATGCTTAATACCTTTTTTGTCCCTCTTTTGAGTGGATTTAGTGGATAATGAGGATGTTGAGCATGAGGATGCAGAAGATGTTGAGCATGAGGATGCAGAAGATGTTGAGGTTGCAGTGGAGGTTGAGAATGAAGATGAAGTTGAGGATGTAAGTGAAGAAGCATTGGAAGTGGATAATAAGGATGAAATTGAGGTCGAAAGTGAAGAACTAATTGACGTGGACATTCAGGATGGAGGGGAGGTTGATAGTGAAGAAGAAGTGGAAGTGGAAGTGGACAGTGATGATGAAGTGGAAGTGAACGACAAGATCCTTTGACCCAACTTTTCGAGAACGAAGAACACCCTTGAGAAGCCATTCCTATGTCTCCCCAAACACTTCCCAAACCTCAAAGACCAATTGGGAGGAAACCAAACCCTAACCCCTCTTAATGAAAATCACTGCCACTACCACGTGAACTTTAATGAAAACCACTGTCACTACCACGTTATGAACCTAAACAGTCATGTTGCACAGATCACTCCACACTGTCAGCTGAATCGTTAAATATTTAACGCCGTGACCAAAAAGGATTTGATTGTACACTTTTTTCACAAGTTGGGACCACATTGAATTTTTTAAAAAAGGTAGGACGTACTTGAACATTGTCCCCCTAAAGAGGGACCAAAAGAGGTATTAAGCCTATATATATATATATATATATGACAACAAATTAAACACACCG